GGGGGGCGGCTTCACGCAGGAAGAGGCCAAAATGACACTGTCCAGCTTCTCAATCAGGCTCTCCACGTATTCTTGGACAGAAACCTCTGATGCCTGCAAACATATGTGTTCAGAAAGTCTCATCATCCTCTCCTGGGCAGAAAGGACTGGTGTGGACATGTCACTGACATAAGGAATGTTTTTTTGCTGCAAAATTTCTTTAATCTTTCTTGCAAAGAGCTTATATTCTTCTAACAGTGCTGTCTCTATTACTGCACTAATGGAATGCTTAGCTGTAAAAGGTTGATCTGTTAGCTCATACTGATCTTCAAGTTTCTCCACTTGTCCTGTGTAATGTCCATCTTCTGCTGTCCCCTTCTGTGTGTCTGAAAATGGAGAGCATGGCAATTGATAGTCAGAATTTCTCTGTCTATTTACTACCCGGGGGTCATTAGGAAGCGCATCCGTTGGTGGCAAATATTCCGGTGGCTCTTCAGGTGATTTCAGACCTACAGAAGAAGAGTTCATCATCACCATCACCATCCTCTCATGTGTCAAACTCACACACACACAGGGGACAGACCAAAACCTCCAAACCCCAGCCTGAAAACAGCATTACTGCTCTGCCTCCCCCACCAACCAACTTCAACGCCAATACTCAAGTGTTACAGTCTGCTGAGGCACAGAAGCACAGTACATTTACAGCTCCTAAGACAGTCAAACAGCACAGTCCAAGTCTGCTGAAAAAGCAGAATACAAGTAGTTTTTCCAGAGATAATGTAGAATAAGCACAACAGGACATACCTTCATTACAAATTAAATTAGAAATTGAGCAGGGCAACATATGATTCAAGTATTTCCATTTGCTACTAGGTTAAAATGCTCACTTTTAAAAAGCTTAGACACAAATGACCTTGTGGAGTTGGACTGCAAGCTGCACCTGATCTGTCATCACCTGACATCAGTCTGACTGATTACTGACACAGCTTCAGTGGTGCTGCAAGGAGTGCTGACAGACCCTCATAACCCCAGCTCAGTTCCTTCACCATCCATATCCAAAACTATAGTTTTGTTTGTTTTTAAAGCATTCACATTTCTAATTTGTGTTAATATGAGGTCACACCAATATTCTCCACCAATATCTGTTTTCATCCAGATTTCTGTAATTATCAAATACAAGAAACAACAGCACAGGCTATAGATGTGCTTGTGTACCAACATGTGAGCCAAGAATGGATGGATGAATCCAGGCACAAACCTTTAGAATGTTTTCATTCACAACTTGTAGGAACAGAGGAGTTCAAATCCATCTTACCTGTAATTGGGATAAGTTTCCAGTGCATTCCAACTTCCCCCACATTATCTGAGCAGGGAGGTTGCCTGAGATAGCCATGTTCTATAGGTGCACTAGGACAGGGACTGCAGCCTTCAAAGGTACTCCCAGTGCCTGTGTCCTAAAAACCAAGCAAAATGCCCATCTCAAAACAACTTCTTTTGGTTTTGCTCACTATTAAGTTTTTACATTCTGAGCAGCTGACAGAAACAAGTGAGTTCACTGGCAATTCTGCTATCAATGTAATCCATTAAACCTGGAAACATTTCCACGAGGTATTTCTCTGGTCTCCCATTTCTAACGCAGTCCTGAGCACTGCTCTTACAGTGTGGAAGCTCTGGGTGCCAAAGGGGAAGGGAGGGGAAAACTGGCAGCTCCCTCACTCTTTTCCAGGCTGTTGTCTTGATACCTGACTAAAGCCCGGAGGCATTTTAAATAATACAGTTGAAATAATTTAAATTTAAATAATGAATTTGCTGAGGCACTGCCTACAACTAGTACTGGGCCCTTATAAAAGCCAATTTCACCTCACATTCCAGATGGGTAGAAGCAAAACAGCATAGAGATTACAGGTAGGACAAACTCACTCCTTCTCTAAGAATTAGGAACTGGATTTTGTGTGGAAGTACCAGAGATCATGGAACAATCACTCTTGTAGGGTAAGGAGCTGGGGCACTGTGATCACTAACTCATCTACAGCACTGCAGTGAAATACTCAGAATTCTTCAACTCTGCTCCTTTTTTATCACAAAAAGAATAACGAACCACGAACACATTTAAGAGTGGAGAAAATTTCCACCTATGTTCCTACCAAACAGAAAAGCTTCACAGAAGAGTTAGTGCGTATCTATGTTTGCCACTGTAAAAAAACAATGGTTTTTTCATTCAGTCTCATATTTATGAAAAAAATTCCTTCACTGTCAGCATCTGGGCAGTTTCACTTACTTGTAAATGTAGTGTGTGCTCCAGGGGTGCTTCGTTGGGTGGGAGCTGCAGACTGACATCCACGGGGTAGGGCAAGCACGGCGCGTCCGGCTCCAGCAGGGCCGGGCTCTGCGGCTCCTTGAAGGGAGCGCTGTCAGCCTGAGCAGCGGCAGCAAGCTCATGATCATCTCTGTCCTGAGCTGAAACGGATTCATACTCATATTTCTGTCTCACATCCTCTTCCAGCTCCTCAGCGGCCAAGGCCTTGGTGACAGCCTGCCGCAGCAGCGCCGGGTCCCAGTGGCTGGGCGGGCCCAGCGTCTCCAGCATCGCCTGCACCAGCCCCTTGGGGTCGGCTGCGGCGTCCGGCACGTCCTGCCTGGGCTCACCCTCGTGGCCTCCGTGCTCAGCGTGCATTGACAACACGCAGTGTGGGGAATCCAAGCTTCTGCCACCTTACAAGAGGGTGAGGAGGGGAAAAGGAATCCATTGCTCAGTCTTAAAATAGAAACAAAACCAGATCTCCCCCCAAACATCTGCCACGTACCTGCAGTCTCGATCTTTAGCGTCAGTTTGTATGTACACACATTATTTTAACAAAAATGTAGACATGCTTTCATCGCATATTCTACATCATTAATCAATGTCAAAACACCTTTGAGGTTCACAGAATTCACCAAGCAGGAATCCCAACCATAAAGTCCACCCTTCGTCTCCTTCATCCCTACACAGCAGTCAGTATCTTCTGTCCCCTCAAGAGGGCAACTAAGGACAACTAAGATCGACTGATCACTTCATCTTCCAGTGATTCACACACACCAGAGTGACTGGTGCTTGAGGGAAATCCCCTCTTTGTGTCACCCCATTCCCATTCCCCCCTTTTGCAGGAGGCTTCTATAATTGCCTTGAGAAAATGGTCAGGGAAACAGAAATCAAAGGGGTTTTTCTGGCAGACCTTAAGTCAGAAGGTACCTGTGATACTTCTCTGAGGTTTGGATGTAGATCATTATTTAATCTTATTAGGTTGTTTCCTTTGTCCCACTGCACACATTACTGGCTATTTCAAAACTGAACTATGCTTCTTCCCTTCCATCTAAACTTCTTAGGTATGAAATAGGGCAGTGGACACAAAGGATTAGAGCAAAGTCAAACTCTGCAAAAGACAAAACCAAGTCTGCTAAGTGTTCTGCATTAGAAAGTCTTTGGACAGCTCCACAGGCAAGTAAACTCTTTCAAAGTCTGCTTTCTTTCCAAAGAGGCTAAACAAAAGCAACTTCCAGGAAAATTCCCCTTATCTCCTCAAAAAATAAACTGCAAAATAAACCTGGAAACCGGCAAAAAAAAAAACTTTATCTCTATTGACAGATCTCAGGCCAATGAACCATCGTGCATTAAATTGCCACAGCATGCAAAAAGATACTCAATCTATGATGATTAAGTGTTAAATATGCTCTGAATAACAATGTTCAAAGAAGAACTCTAAACAAACACTTTCTTACCTTCACACTGACAAATATTCTCTGAAGAGTCACTCATTTTTAGGTATTTCTGCAAGTTTTCAGATTGTTCTTCCAGCTTTCTTTTCAGACCACTCCTAATTCTGGGGTCTTCAAAATCAGAATCCCCACCTACATTTTTCTTTCTACACTGGATCAAGTTAATAAGATCCTTGAGTCTCTCAGTATCATCATCTCCAGAACGAGGCACTCTTTTCTTGGCCTCATAATCTGAGCTGGGGCTGAAGCGCTGCGGTTTGCGGTTCCTGTCCAGCAGCTCCCTGGCCCTGCACACGGGCAGCTGATAGGACTCCCAGCTGAACACATAGTTCTGCAAGCACGTCTTGAGGTGCCCTTTGTACTTCGGGGCAGGGTGCAGAAATCTTTTGTCATCCAGCACGGGTGCGTACTCACGAAGCAGAAACTCTCTGGCTCTCCCAGGGCCATGGTAGAGCTTCCTGAAGTACTCGTAGATGTACTTCTCCACAACAGCATTGTAATCTCCCCCGCTGTGCTTACGGGCCTGGTACAAAGCAAAATGCAGAGACTGAACCAACTTTGTGAATTCTGGAACGATTTCCCTTCTCTTGCGTGAAGCCATGGTAGATGATTTTTTCTGTGTTCCATATGGACCATTTTTTTGTGCTGCCAAAAGGAGAAAAGGGAATCCACAATTAAAACCAAACCATGAAGCTGTAAATAAATGATGACTAGTCAGCAATACTCTATGCTAATATATGCTGGGTGAAACACAGTTTGGAATGACCATGAAGAATTAATTCAGGGATGCTCTATCAAGAAATTTCAACAAGTTTTACTTTCTCAAATATGAACAAATGAAGCTACAACGTTGAACATTTGCTTTTGTGAAGAAACAAGTATTTCTAATACCATGACCATAACCAATGCAAACTGTTACTCTTAGTTCACACTGACTGACTACAAAATCCTCACCAGAACATCACCTCTGTTTCAATAAACCTGCACACAACAGCGAGCAAACCCACCTGAGCCAATGACACCTCTGGACTCTGGGAACAGAAACAGCGCATGAAGCACACGGGAGCATCCAGTCTGCTGGTCTAGAGCACAAAAACAGAAAAACAGTTAAAAAGGAGAGCACCACCCAGAGTCAATCTAGTACCCAAAAACCCACCCCTCTAAAAAAGCCAAAACAACAAACCCAACTCAAACACAAACCCAGAGTGTGCTTACCATAAGGGGACATCATCTGCCAAGGAGAAAGAAGAATAAGAAATCCTCTGTCCACAAGTGGTTTCACAAGGACCTGTTTTCAAGCAAAAAGAGCAAACTGCTTCAAAGACATTGGTTCACCATGAGTACTCCTCTTGACTGCAAGATAATTCTGTCTTGGGCAGACAAGTGCCCGGATAATTAAGATGCCAGCTAAGGAATTCCAGTGAGACTGTGGATCTTGTAATATGCCTGAAACTACTAACTAGTACAATTATTTTTAAAAATAGGAATAGTCAAATCTGTGGCACTCACAAGTTTCTCTTTCTCTAGTTTTTGAAGCAAACCCTCTAAGTGACTCCCAGAACGGGACTTCTCCACAACTTCATACAGGCTACAGTACATGCCATTCTTCCACACTGCCAGGACACAAGGAGAGAAAGAGAGTGTAAGGAAAAAAGAAACAAAATTGTCATTCAGAAAACTTGAAAATTCTGAATTTAAAGAAATTAAATGAGAACAATTTACCTTCTTTTCTTTCTTGGTAAGTTTCTTTCAAGAACAATGCTGGTGAAATTTTTTTCTTCAAATCATCAATGCTTACAACATTTTCAACCTCAAGCTTCTCAGAACTGGAGAAGAAGGGTGGGGGGAGATAAAAAGAAATACAGACCTCTTTTTTTACTTTCTATATTCCTACACTCACTGATAAAATAAGAACCAGTAAATACATGGCCTTAAGAAGAACTTCTTTGTACAATCTCATGAGCCAGGGGTGTTTATTCCTGCAGAGGATTGTGTGTCACTCGAATGGAAAAAAACCCAACAAACCCAAAACAACAGAACAGCAAAGAGATGCTGACATTTGTGTGCCTGAGCTCAAGGAAGTTCTGGACATACATGACTCAACTCTTGTTTGATGCATTTAAGGCACTTAGGCAGTATTTCAGATTTTCATCTGAATATATCCAAAACTCACCAGCAGTTTCTACTCAAAAGAGTTTCAACAGAGCAGTATTTTAAACTTACTGTCTAAATGGCAATACTCACAGCTTGCATGGAAGGAAAGATCGTGCTGCTGATTTTAGGGAAACGTGGCACACAAGTTTGCCTTTATTCCAAAGCTGTCCCCTCCACAATGTAACATTGGGTTTCTCTAAATTAAGATGGAGAAAGGAAGACTAAGTGAAACCACTTGCCAGCTGTGACTGAAAGAAGAGGCTGCTGAATCTCCAGAATCAGTACAGGGAAAATTTCATACTAATACCAGACAATAATGTTAAAAGGCAACAGAAAGGATGTTATCAACCCTGTTATGTTTTGACCTGCTCTGAGCAAAGGAGGTTGGTTTGTTACCTACACCTGTCAGTACAAGCAATCCTTGATGCTAATTTCTGAGGAATTATATCCTCTTTTCCTTACCTTAACTGTCAACCACTTTCACACATATCAGCTTTGCTTGAATGAGGTTCAAAACAAAGCATGACACAGAATCATGTTATGTGAAGTGCCATTGAACAGGAGATTCAGGAACTGAAGATCAGTTCCTACCACACTCTAAGTAGGAAAGGAGGGAAAAAAGGCTGTTGATTTAGTTCACTTGTGGTTCATTCTGATAAAAGAAGATACACATGAGGGTGTCTGTTTGATCATCCAGTATCAGCAACCAGCATGGTTCAGGATAAAATTCAGGTACACACTCAGCATAACTAAACTGGTCAAACATAAAACTATGGGGGAAAATCATCAGAACCTTCCCTGTCTGTATCATAAAACCAAAAAATAGAATTCATTCTTACCTGTACTTCTATCTGCGTGGAAGGTGTTTGCTCTAAACAAAAGAAGAGAGACAGAATGACTAGGCTGGAACAGAGAATTCTGACCACTGAATTTCACACTAAGAATAGTTTATCAGTCTAACAAAATAGGAAGACTGGTAATTCCCCCTCTAACCTCCATCTAGCACTGCTGCAGCATCTTGTACTGTTTTAGATACCTTGGTAACTGCTTTTAGCATTTCACAGTACAGTCCCCACACCTGGACATCTTCCTATCAGCACAGCTATCACAATGGATCTGTGATCAACTGGCCATCTACATACTCCCTCCACCAGCAGACACCACTGAAGGGTTCAGAGACAAAATATACAGAATATTATTTTAGAGTACCAAGCAAGATAATGTTGTGAATGATTTTATGTCCACAAATTTCCTCAGTTAGGTAAAACCCTTCAGTATTTGTGGATTCCACCCAGGCCAAAGGCAAGCAGGTGGGAAGAGCAGCAAAACTGCTTCCTACAGGGCCCCCCTGCTGCATAAAACCAATTCTGGCACCTCTTGCTCTGCATTAGAACTATTTATTGTACTAAGTCCCTGTGGCACATTCATTCACTTCAGCACTGCTCATTTAAATCAATTCTAAGCTACTGCCAACAGCTATGAATTCTTCCTGCTACATCCACAACTCATTTCCTAGCTTACTTACCTTGATGGGGGCACAAATTTTGGTCCTTGTACCACGTCATCTTTGTAAGCAAATGAAACAACAGCAAAAGGACAAACATGTCTTGGTCTTTGCCTGATCTCATCAAAGCCGTATTCATAAAAGTAGTACTGGGAAAAAGAAGGGACAGTGTTAAATCAGAAGCCTGGAGGAATCATTAATTTCTTTAAATGCTGGGATTTAAAATAAAGAAGTTTTTAAATGCTCCTCTCATATGTATTAGCAAATACAATAAATTAAGATAGTTTTTTTAATCTTCTCCTTCCTTTATTAACCACTTAGATATGGACAGCACCTTCAGGAGTGAATCAAGAATAAATCATTACTGAAATGCAAAATTTACTTGAAAGTATTTTTGGTGAGAGAAGGGATTAACTAATAAAAAACAAAAAAATTCAGAGGAAAGTAAATATTGCAATGAGTTTTGGAGTCTATCCTTAGCTCAATCACCAATATAAAATGTTAATTTAGGCAAATTTACAATGAGAAATGAAAAAATACATTCATTTTTTAGCCATCTATTTCACTGATTTACAGAAGATAAAAGAAGTTAATACTGAAGAGAATGCTTTCAAGCAAGGATCCTGAAATCTGCATACTTGGTGGAATAATCTCACTGCAACAGATTGTTGCAGTAAGAGACAGAACACCTGGAGGAACATAAATGCTTGGAACTGATTTGTCTTCCCTCATCATCTCCAAACCTAAGAATCTGGAAAGGGGAATAAGCAAAAAAAAAAAAAAAAGAAAAATGCTATTCTTTGCTAGCCAACATTTTCCCTTTTAGGAGTCCCACTTAAAGACCACAAACCAGTTGTGCTTTTACACCTCAAACTCCCCAAGTCCTCTCCTCCAGCCTCCATTCCAGTCCCATGTATTCCCCAGTTTTTTCCTATTCCCTCTCCCCCTATGTGAGGGAGATCTCCCGGGGTTCAGGATGACACCATGGAGCAGCAGAGGCTGCCAGGCTGATCTGGGATTTCCAATGCAGCACCTCTGGGCTGCTGCACACACCCAGCTGCAGCTGCACAGGGAGCTCAGGGGCTGCTCTGTCCCCAGGATTTTCTCTCATCATTCCCAAGTTCTGCTTGTGCAGTGTTCTGGAAGGTGCCACAGGCCCAGCTGTACCTGAGTGAGCTCGTAGGCTCGGTAAGCCAGCAGGGAGGTGACTTTGCCTGCATTCTTTGAAATGTGACACTCGTGGTTTGGGGTGGGATCCAACATGCTCTTGGCAGCTGATTCCATTGCTTTCATACCAGTGTAGTCGTATATGCTTTTCATTCTCCCCTGTAATAACACAGCAGAATTGTCAGCAGGAGCTTTGTCCTGCAAACTGACAAATTGCTTCCAGTACCAAACAAAGTAAGAGCAGTGAAAATAAAACAAGCCATTAAGAAAGCTACTTCTGGAAGTACATTATTTTCATACTTTCAAAAAAAAAACCAACATATTTTTGCCTTCTAAAACAATTTATTATGATTTATTTCAGCTTAATATCACTACTGGATTTTAAATCTAGTAGATGTCTAGTTTCTGTATACACAGATGACTGCACAAATTACAAGTAAGTTAGGTTAAAACCCCTGTGTGTTACCAGTAAGCAATGTAATCCTTCAAGAATAGCAAGATTAAATTACCTTTATTATTTTAAAAACAATCACATCTCCAGTTGCTCCAGATTCTAGAGGATTAGGCTGCAATAAATCAGCATACTTGGAGATATAGACACCTGAGAAGAGTATAAAAAGAAGCCAAAATACATTATGGTGAATGTTAAAACATTATTAGAGATTTCAAAAGCCTTACATGGGATTAAAGCTCAATGCACACAAAAGAATAAAGATACAATTGACACTCAAGTGCAAAGGTAAAATAATTTTGTGCTTTTCTGTACTTAGTTATTTCATAGATTTTACAGCCTCAAACACACACTGTCATCGGCTGGTCTGGCTGACTACCTCAGAGCAAAGAGCTGTAACTGAATTCAGATGCTCCATAAAGCATCCATTTGCCTTAGGTTCCTCTCATTCCAAGTCTGTATTTAACTGCTTGAGCAAATTGCTCCAGACCCTTTACCAGCTAAACAGTAAAAACTCACATGCTCACAAAGCCTTGTTCTCCACCTCTCACCTACTGCTTTCAGTATTCACTTCTATATTCATTCATATTGTCTGCTTTCAATATTCATGATACTTCTGTGCCATGTTCCTCTCAACAGGATGACAAAATCAGTTCCTAATTTTCTATTTGAAAAGCTTTGCAAAAGGAACTTACTGTCTTGCACTCTCAAAACTCTTTAAACACCTTCTGACTCTTCTAAGTCTCCAATTTATCTGTGCTCTTCTTGGGTCTGTGGATTCAAGAATTTTAGTTCTATCTACATCAAACTGAGCTGAGCTACTGTGTCCATGAGGCATCTCTGAATGCCCACACCTACAGACAAACACAGGCAGCCAGCCACACACTGCATCAGCTCTGTGCCCCCCCAGGTTTGCTGGAAACACAGGGACACTGGTTTGAGAATTAGGTGTTCCCTTTGCAAAGGGAATTTAACTGAACTACTCAAAAACAGAGCTATGAAATAATGTTCTGATGTCCATTTCCTTTGCTAAAAACATCTTGCTGTGACATTGCTGCAGTTAGTGATATAAGAGAGACTGGAAGGTGACACAACTGCATCAATTATCTGCCAACTGCTACTGAATAAGCAGCACTTCTAATGAAGAGATAATTACCCATGGAAGGGCTGCCGAGAACTGAGAGTTTGGAGTGGCCAACCTGCAGCCCCTTTTCACATATGCTCTGGATCTAAAGAGAACAGACAGGTTTTTAAGCAAGTCTGTAAGGAAAGGCAGGATATGAACAGAACAAACAGCAAGAAATTACAATTACAGAACATAAATTGAGATTTAAACACAACCCCAACCCTTACAAACAGAGGCAAGACTAGTCTGAATTCTCTATAGAACTATTCAACTGTGTAAGTTAAACTCTGACATGGAACAGCTACATAAACTCCTCTGTATCTTAAAAAACCACACCCTCCCTATACCTCAAACACTCTTTATGAATATTACTTGCCTTTAATACAGAAAATTTTAATATTTGAAACAGAAGTATACCTGTCAAATGATTGCATGCTTAAGAAATCTCAACTCTATAATAGCAAACAAAGCACAGAAATCACTATTCCATCACTTTGATTAAAAGTATATGATCAAAGAAGAGACAGAGAAGACAATGACCATTTTCTAATATTACAGGTCACCTTATTGATGCAAAAAAAGAAGAAAAAAAATACCAAAACAAAATGCAATGAAGGCATAAAATATTCCTCAATTAAAAAAAAAAAAAAAAACACAAACCAAATAAAAACTCACATGTCATCTAGAAAATCTATCCTTCTATTTATAAAACAGAGCCTAAACCAGAGAAGATAAATGGAGTACCTTAAGTAGAAGGGAATAGAGGATTTACAGGGTGACAGATCCCTTTGCCATCCTTCTACACCTTCCAGTGCTGAATTTTGCAAAAGTAACTTTAAGATTGTGCCAATAAAACCACTCAGAAAAACCCCAAAGGCCCAAAAGCTGCAAGTGCTGGATAAAGCATGTCCCTGCAGGGCTCAGGGCTCACCTGGCAGCGATCCACCATGAGGAAGGCGTAGCTGTCCGACAGCTCCTTCTCGGGGCGCCCGTCCCGCTTCAGCTCCCGCCGCTTCTCTGTGAACTGATGGCACACAGCTCTCAGCACAGGCACACACTCCCTGCTGCTGCCACACCCACTGCCAGGGTTTTAATGCCCCAGCTGTGTTAGCACATCCAAGTGTACAAAAATAATCAAAAGATAATCCAAATTAAATCACTGGATGCTGTAATTAGACTTTGAGAACATTATACCTGTGGGAAATCTAACTGGCCTAATCTGCCCAAGTATTTGGTTTTTTTAAGAGACGCTCCTCAAACAAACCTGTGCAGTAACAGATTAGTTTGATTTCTGTAGCATAACTGGCTAGAACTATCCAGTCCAATGCCTCCCACATCATCTTTGAAACTCCAGAAATAAGACTTTTTCTCTTTTTAGGAGACAGATCTCTTACACTGTACAAACATTTCTGCAGACGCACCTCACTGCTGCTGAGGTGGTTTTTATCAATATTTCTCAGCTGTAACCATGAACAATTAATGTAACAGCAGAAAAAGCTTCAGTTTACTTCATAACTTCAAGATGATAAACAGCAAACGAATTATATATTCTTCAATTACTTCATATGTGAAGCTTTTTGGCACTGGGAATGAAAACTTCATTTGAGAGTGATGAGAACAAGCCCAGGCTGGATTTAACAGACACCACATAAGGCACAACAGAGGGGCTTCAACCAAGGTGCTCCAATTACTGGATCAACTTTAACTAAAGTACTTCTTGGAAAACAACAAAGCTACAGAGATTATGGAAACTTCTATCAGACACATATTTTAATCTTAATTTTCACAGGAAACATCAGCCCCGTCAAGAAAACATTAAAACAAACTTCTGGGTTATTAAAATACCTTAATAAAAATTAAGAAAATTTTTGACAGCTAAAAACACACAGACAAGTGGTGCCAAATACAGTTTTTCTTTTAGTCTTCTTGAGGTACCTGGCAGGCAAAAGTTGAAAACTATGCAGTAATAAACTTGCCTGAAAATAGCTGCTTTCATTTCTGGGGATGGGAGTTTGCAATTAAAGATCAGCTGCACAACTGAGAATAATGCCCAGGTCTCTGCCTCTAGACTGAGAAGCACTGGCATTTGACTGGTACCTTATTGAGAAGCAAAAGCCACAAATATACTCACTTCCTTTTCCAACAGCTCACTTTGAACTAAGCTGGCTCTCTTGTATTTAAAATTGGACACTGAACTGGGATCCAAGTAGGAAGAATGCAGAATGTTTATAATCTCCTCAAATTCTCGAGACTCTGGAAGTACTGGTTGAAAGAGTGCTATAAAAGAGAAGAAATAAAATAATGAGCATCAATATAGATGTGAAAACATCCAAAAGTTTCCAGTTCACTGACAGTTTATGCATGAAAATAAATGGTTTGTGATTCGATTTCAAACACAAAACACCTAGAATACTTGGCAAACATAAACTTAAAGTTTATCTTAAAATCTCCTAGAATGATAGCATCTTTTAAAAATCACAATTGTGTTTTTTTAATATTGCTCTTGCACAGCTACTGGTTCTCAGAAGTTTGTAAGGGAAGCACTTCAAGTCTGAATTTACCCCTTGAAAGACATCTAATATGTACTGCAAAACACTGAAATTAAACTTTCAGAACTGTAATTTACTAATTAACTCCTTTAATTAACAAATTGTCCTAATAAAAACCTCAACAGCAGTTTCATAGCTTGGCCCCACTTCAGAACTATTATGAGGTTTTGTGTTCGTTTGCTTATGGCAATTAAGCTAAATATGAAGAAATCCAATCCTATTTAAAGACAAATAAGCTCCGATTGCTAAAACCACCAGGGCCCCACTGCCTGCTCGTGGTTGATGATGCTGTCCCCTACCATACCTGCTTTAAAAGGAAAGCCCTTCAGGAGCTGCTGAACAAATTCCCTCCTGGGAGAACCTGAGTTCCCACAGGGAAGCAGCTCCGTGTCTGTGTTTGGGTGCCAAGGTGACAAAGGGATCAGAGGAGCAGCCCCGGGGGGGCCAGCACAGGATGGCAGTGCAGACTTTGAGAGTAGTGGCCAGGAAAATAACATCTCTGGGGGAACTGAACTAGCACAACACAACAAGTGGTTTTTATCCTCAGAGTAACTTCCAAAACCACCACCAAAAGTGCACAACTTCTACTGTGGTTACAACACTTAAGAACAATAGTACTAATCTCACAAAAAAAAAAAAAAAAGACAAAAACGACAAAAAAGCAACCCACCATCACTCAAACAAGAAATTAAATTTAATTCCATCTTCAGAGTATATCCTCCAATTTCACTAAGTAATATGGCAGTAGATTTAGGCAGCAATTTTTCTCTCATTTGCAGAAAAGATTTACTGCATAAGCCTCAATATAAAACAAATGTTCCTAATGAAAACCAAACTGTTCTGTGCTATTTAGTAAAAGCTGCACACTTTAGAAGGCAACACCACATCTGCAAACTGAAATCAAGCAAGGATTCCAACACCACCACCAATGAGAAAGTGATTTTTGTAAGAGAGCAGAAATTACGAAAGTGATTTAGAAACCATCCTTGTGCAACATCCTTTTGAGTAACCACACCTTCATTCTTCAAAAGCTGACAGCAGCATGGGAGGAGACAGAATTGAATGTGAATGGAATTCTCAACTTGGTATTACTGGGACTGAATGCTCTCGTACTGAAGAGATAAATGCTTATGAATAGAATAGCAAACAGAAGCCTGCTGCAGGTACACACGCCCTGGGAAAGCACCCCCTGTTCCACCCCAGTCCCGAACATCCCTTGGACACTACAGCACCAACCCCCTGTCACACACATCTGGGGTTCACACACTGCCAGCTCCTCAAAACCACCAGCTAAGGCAGAAGGTTATCTGGGCCAGCTGCCTGACCCAATTTCCTGTTTTCTTACCAGCGTTTACTGCACCTTATCCCTCCTTCCCCCAGGACACAAGCTCGGTAAAAATGAGCCTCTCGCTTCCATCTGGAGCCCAAACAAGCAGAAAGCACTGCAGGGTGAGCTAGAAAGAGCCACACCACAAGGCAGGCATAAAGTCTCACTTGCTTTCCCAGATGCAAATCTAGGAAGAGGCACATTATCACATTAATTAAGATCCTGTCATACACACAAATATTATCAACCATGCCCCTCTTTGTGTTTAAATATCTGCTCTGTGGAAAGCCCTGGGGAGCAAGATGAGACAGACTTGCCCTAAGCCAGCAAGTCACCCTATTCTCCTGGTAGGGAGAATCTGCATAAACTAGTACACACTGAGTGCTCAACACATTTATGGGAAAGCCCTACCTAATCATTCAATTATGGAAAATAGAAAATAAAAAATTTCATAAAGATTGTTGCAGTTTTTTCTTCCAGACCTCGAGGCACTGCAGACTTCATGTTCTCAATCAGAACATGAAACATCACCCCAGGGAGGTGAGTAGCCAGGCAATACTTTCCAGCAATACTTTCCAGTTCCCCATTTGAGCTGAGGTGTTCAGGGACAGTGATGGTCTGAAATGTCAATGTCACCACAGCAGGGCCTGTACCTTACTTCAAGCAAAGAGTGCAGAAACAAGAAACAGCTAAAATAAAACTGAGAAGTACTAAACTAGACCTTGTACAGCAGCCACCAAGGCTGTGCCCCCAGGCAAAGCATGAAATTGCTGAGCTCATCCCAGTCTCCATCACCTCAGGGAGCAGCCATGAGCACACACACATCTTCCAGGCATGCTGGACACAGCACATGGGGCCGCACTGCACCTGTACTGCCCTGGGCTAATTACACTCTAATTAAAGTAAGGACTAACATGCAGCATCCTTATAATACAAGTCAATTGTTTGGGGGTTTGCTGGCTCGCTCAGCACAGGTAAAAATAAGTAAATAAATACTGAGTTTGTACAGCTTCTATCCGGGGCATGGGAATTTATGTAATTATTTTTAGGTGGAATTTGAGTTTAGCTAATAATGACTAGTCAAAGGACAGGGACTGGACTGGATGTCTGGATGTATGTCATACCTGAGAGGCTCTACTTTTCTTTCACAGCTGTCTGATGTTTCAACTTCAGAAAGCTGAGATTGGAGTCCCTGGGTTTAATTGCTTTAAGTCACAATGTGAAGACAGAGCCATCCTCCCTGAGCAATGCTGAACAAAGTCTGAAGGGAAGGTAAGTAAATTAATGATTTTCCTATCAGCTAAGCAGGCAGAATGCTAGCATTCCTCACACAAGTGCTCCTGCTACAAAAGCTCCATTGAGCTCCACTCTTTTAAGTCTCAATTTCTTTCAGTCTTCATTTTTTAAGACTAAGACAAAAAAATCTGTGGTGTTAACAACTGGGACATTTTTACCTTCAGGACTTTTTCAGCCCAAAATGCCTTGTGCTCTCAATAGGCCTAAACTGTTACCAAGTTCAGGGACTGAGAGTTCTCCACCTAGAACTATCGTGGAGCAAACAGCAGGTGCCCATCTCCACCAAAGAAAGGGAAAATCAGAAGACAAAAGACAAGGCAAAACGATGAATTAGAAAAGGGACAACCTAGACCTTCATGCAGGTATTGCAGAGTTTGATGGGTAAAAGCAAGGCCTTTTTCCCCCCTCAGCCTGAGAAACAGCAGGCAGCTGCTACTTTGACAGACTCCAGAAAGAACCTCCAGCTTTAATCAACAAGCAACCCCTCAAAGGCACCGGCTGCCATGTCAGCATCACTGCTGGAATTATCCTTTGCTAAGGGGATCACTCGGATCGTTCAGCAAGTTAAAAGTGCTCTTACACTGATTTATCCTTAAAATTTGCTTTCCTAATCCTATCAAGGACCTCTCAAGTTTCAAGCAGACTTGGAAACCTGTGAAGATCAGACAACTGAATTAGAAGAGGCCAGGAAAGGCCTGAAGACAAATGACAGATAAGCTGCTCAATGGAGCATAACACCATTGCTGAACTCCATGTACCAAGAAAACAAACCTCCAAGGAACTTCTAAGGAGCAAAACAAATGCAGGCACACCTTAAAACAATAATGCTGCAGCCAACTTCTCTTTCATTTGTTTCCTGAATTCCTATGCCAGCAAAAAGAATGAGAAAATCAGAAGAATTCTCTGTGCAAACTGATCACAGTTGTTAGGAGGTATCTTTTCTTCAGATTGCAAAGAATTTGTTGACTTTCAGTCTCTACTTAAGTCTCCAAGAGGGAAGATAAATTCTGAAGAAGATAAATAAGCAGCTAAAATCTAAATTTTCTAGGATATTTCTCTTACATTTTGAAAGCTAAAGTTTAAATTTTCTCCTACATTTGTGCTTTTCAGATTCAGTTTTTAATTTCTTGACTACCAAAAACTGTTGCTAAAACACATTTTAGTGTTTAAAAATACTTTAAAATCCACCAAAAACCCCACCTCCAAACAAAGTCAAACACCTCGGACAAGGGGATCCTGTCCATAGCAGCTAAGCCCTCACAATCACGGCAGCAGCCGTGTCTCAGGATGGTACATCCACAAAACACATGGTGGTTTAAAAATCAGAACAAGGACAACGGCAAGGCAAGGAATGATGGAGGAAGCTTCCATATTGTACTGCTTCATGCTGGGCTTTAGAACCAAGCCAAGAGAGCTCTCTTGAGGAACTGGTGTCATTCAGATTATTTTGCAATTTTACAAGATGTATTTAAGCACTGACAATAAGGATGCTGCAAGAGCCACTACCTATGGCATCAGATGATTGAGTGCTGATCTTCCAGTGCAGTTCCAGAACTGACTGAATTGCATCATTTTCCAAATGATAATGCAAATCCCAATGGCAATTTAGCTGTCCTCAAACTGCAGTTTGGCAGTCTATGCCGTGAGAACAACACTCACAGCTGAAAACCCACCAGCACCGTGGGCTGAATGGAGCAGGGTCTGCTCTGACACCTTGGGAAGCTCCAAGCCGTCAGAATGATCAAAATACCTGAGAGCCTTTCTGCAGGCTGAAAGGAAAAAAGGCGAGAATGGCTCAAAGACCTTGACATTAGCAAGTCAGTTTTTGAAGTAAGGCAAGAATGGCTCCCTCTTCTACCTCAGAGGCCACAGAAGCCTGAGGTTTGAACTACACAATCCAAAGCTTTTTGCAAACTGCAGATGGCTCGGCATAGGCAAATGATGAATTAGATGACCTACGAGGGTATTTTGCAGGTTTTCATTCACATTGGAACCAAATGCTAAAGAGCAACTCTAGATAGCGTTGGTTAAGTACAAACATTTCTGAAACACGTTTAAACCACACTTGGGTGTGGCACACAAGACACTTCGATTGTTCATGAGGCACCAAGTTACATCCAGGTATTTTTCTGCCAGATGAATTATAAAAGACTTTTTTTCTCCAAATCAACCCAGTTCTTTTTACAATGAATCTCTGCCAGACTTGTATCACCCCAGAGCGGGGTGGCAATGGGAATGACCAGGAAGAAAAAGGGGTCATTACTGCCAAAAGGAATTAGTCTATTACTGGAGACAAAAGACTGGATAATGAAATAAACCTACCTTCATCTCTTCTTTACAGAAGAAAGCATTTCAAGAAGTTAGGATGTTACCTCTTCTCTGAAGAACAAGAAGCCTATTCAAACAAGTATTTTTGTGATATGGACTAAGTTACTGACTCCATATTGCAAAAGGGCAAGAACTAAGATAAATTTCAGGAAGGAAATCAGACATGTCTTCAACTCCACTTAACAATAACAAAGTTAAGAAGAAACCAGTGGAGTCTTGTGAAAAGCAAGAAATACCATAGGCTTTTAGAGGAAGAGTTACTCAGAAACAAAAAACCCCAAACCCTGGACACTTGGAAGCAGAACGCTTCCAAAGCGAGGCACGAGAAGGTGGGATGCTCCCTTTCTCCCTGCAAAGAACTTTCACCAGATAAGAGTCTTCTGCGATTCGTCAATGAAGGACAACTCTGCTGGGTTTGTTTCGTCTATCCTAACCAGGATTACACCCCTCTCCTGCAGGGAGGAGGTCAGGGAAGAGAAAAGCGAACCATCTTCGCTGATGTCGGCGTCCCAAAGAAACATCTTCTCCACATGCCAAGGCACCTCCAGAAGCAGAGCCGAGATCAACTCAAGCCCACTCTGATCACATCCAACTTCTCCTCCTTCTAAAGCAGAGATCTGAAATTCAAGCCAAGCTTTGGTTTTGGTTTTGTTTCATCCTCGTGACAAAATAAAAGTGAGAAAGAAAAGAGGAGGTGTAGGAAAAGAATGTAACATCCTGACACTAAAATCGGCTCCTCAGCAGCCTCGCGGGTGCGAGCCAGCAGAGCCTCCTCCACAGCAGGGCTCGCATGCAGCCGTGTGAGGTGTCCGAGAGCTGCCTGATGAATCGGATGGAGAGGGGAGCGAGGCAGAAAAGGAGGGGAAGGGAAGGAACAACCTTTCTTTTCTCTGCTCTTCCTGGGGATCTGAAAGTTCTTCCTAACAGGCTGCTGGTCTTCTGAGGGCTTAGGGAGAGGGGGCGGCCCCCCGAGCACACCGCTGGGCGGCTGCTGCTGTTCATTTGCCGTCGAGACGCTGCTCCTGCGCTGGCTGCTGCTATTGATGCTGGGGTTTGTGGGGACCTTGTCCTCTGCAGCAACAGCAGCCACCAGCAGCGCCTCCCCAGCGCTACCGCTCTCAGAGCGTCCGCCATTTTGTGCGGTGTCCTCAGCGGCTCCCGCTCTGTTACTCTCCGCTCCGAGGACGCCCGCGCTGGTCTTCTCCATCCGCTGATGCTGCTCCGGCTCCATCTCGCCGCCACTGCGGATCACGGCATCCGTCATTCCCTCG